GCTGTATATTTGATAAATAAAAAATGTTTGCGAACTGCATTTTCAATCAAGGGGATACTCGTATGTCTCTTAAGGGGTTATAGCCACTTGCAAGTCAGAAAAAATGCGTTGTCTTGTGTTTTTTTTTTAGAAGGCATTTATTTAATACATATATAAAAAATTGCAGTTAAGTTAATAAGTACGTTAACGTTGATTAATTTGGAATAGTTTGAATGCCCGATCTCCAGGAGTACTTCCGAAAAAAGGCGTCTGGTGGTCAAGAAGATTGTTATACCTTGAACAGGGTATAAATTTACACACAGAAGAAAAAGTTGGAGACCCAAAAAATATACCGGTGTACCACTTTTATGAAATTCAAATACTAATTTTGAATGGGAAAGTAAAAAAAGTTATTGAAAGTATAGACCATTGCTTTTTACACACGATTGACCACCTTTCTGGCAATTTGTGGATATGATACCAATAGAAATGTTCGTCTTTTGAAGCAAACGAACCAGACACGCAATTTTAGACTTCTGCGTAGGAAGCGAAATGCGTGTCGCATCAATAAGAACAAATGTTAATCGGAAGGTGCCAAGTCTGGTGAATACGGCGGATGCGGTAGCAGCCTGAACCGATTTTGCTTTGTGAGCAGGTGCATTTCCGTCTAACAAAACTACTTTGCCATATCTTCTGGCCCATTCTGGTCGTTTTTCGATCAATGTATGATTCAAATTGATAATTTGTTGTCTGTAGCGATTAGTATTAACAGTTTCACCAGGTTTTAGAAGCGCATGATATACCAAACCCTTCTGATCCAACCAAACACAGAGCATTGCTTTCTTACCGAATCGATGTTGTTGTGGTTGTAGTAGCGGCAGAAAACATTCCTAAAGTAATTAAGAAGAATGGTGCCGAGTTGACGATCTTTCCCATAACTCTCAAACGGTCTGAAATAGTTTGTTGTGCAACATTTAACATGGCTGACATTTGCTTTTGACTGAAAGTATCATCGTCATCCAATATTGCTTGCAATTCGGCATTTTCAAACTTTTTGGTGGTCTTCCACGTTCTTCATTTTGCACTACAAAATCACTATCTCCGAACCGTTGACACCATCTTGCATGATCACCGTATGCCTTAACAAGTATTCGATGCGACTCTGCAGCACTTTTCTTCAAATGAACACAAAAAACTTAATGCTTTCCGCAAACCATCACTTTTCCGTAAAAAATTTGACATTTTCAATACAATAAAAAATATGATGTTGTTTGTTCAATGACTGTAGGGTTATTGAATATGTTTGACAGATGTCATGTCAAACAAACAGAAAAAAAATTAAGGCTCGTTCACAACAAATTTTCCCTACCAACACATTTGTATCTTAACGCTCACTTCATACCGGTACATTCGAACCAGTCCCTCAGTTTTTGAGATATCGATTTGAAATTTTGCCCACATCCTTTCCTCAAAAAGCTGTTAATTTGTCGGAACCGCCGATATTGGATCACTATAGCATATGTTATACAGTCATACAAACTGAACGATCAGAATCAAGTGCTTGTAAGAAAACCTTTTTCGTTAAAAGTGATATTTTCACGAAATTTTGAATGAATTATTGCCTAAGGCAGTCGCGGAAGAATCGCTCAGATGGGATCATTATAGCATATGTATATCTGCCATACCAACTGACCGATCAAAATCAAGTTCTTGTACGTCACTAAAATGTTTAAAATATTAACTATTTCTCCAATGTCATATTCCCCAAGGTAAATCTCTTAGTCGTTTTTTCGGAGTACGTCACTAAAATTTGTAAACAACCATCTAATTCTTCGAGGTCAAATACCTCAAGATAAGCATTCTAATCGATTTTCTTGAGTACGTTACTTAAACTTGTAAAACACCATCTAGTTCTCCGGGGTAGCATTCTTTCAGGTAAAGCTCTTATATAATTAAATCATTCATATTAGTAATTGAGACTCAACCACTATCAGCAAGTCCTCCATACCTATGATATTTTCCCATAACTATAAGCCACATTGAAGTCAAGAAAGAAATTTCCATAATTTCTTCTGCTGTGATAATTGTATTCATTGATTTTAGTTCAAGACAATGCTGACCTTACTCAAGAAATTCATATTCAGAAAGATCTCTTTAAATCTGAGGATCGGGTTCGAAACTGTTAGATTATAAATTCCAACTCTCTTCATACCTATGATCGCATTCGAAACTGAAAGATTAACAGTTCCAACTCTCTTCGTTACCATGATCAATATATATATAATATCGTTTACATTAAAGAATTATTTAGTCTCGATCGAAAAATGGAATTTCACTTAGAAATAAAATACATTTCCCATATCACCAAATTACAATATTTTACCCCTTACATCTAATACAGTTTTATATATTATTCTCAATTCCTTTTTGGTTATTTTATTTACAGTTTCAATTCAAGTGACAATGTAATTTCGACTACCGAAACCTCAATAAAACCATCAGAGCCTACCCAACAATCTCAGCAACGGCTTGAACCTACTTATTCACAAGAAGCTCAAGAGTACGCAGCTGAGCAGCCCATTTTATATGTAACACCACCAACAGGCGGAAAGAATGATGGAAGCAATAGTGAAATTAATTCACCACATACAGAGGCAGCCACTATAATGCACGCCAACATTAATCCCGTGTTCACGGTTGATAATGAGCAACAGCAATCAGATGCGTATGACATGCCTGCGGCTTCGACGCTAGCCGAGCCATCGCCAGCTTTACAAGAATATGCCTCGACCGGACGCGCTATCGACTACCATCGGCCAGCATATAATTTTAATCAGCTTATGACGCCTTTAATCAAAAATCCACCATTACCAGCGCCAGCGGTACATGAAAAGCCGGTTACATCCAACATAGGCAAAATAATCTACCCGCAGGCGTTTAACCAACGCAGACCACCAAACGAAGCGGAAATTAATAAACTCAGCGGTAAAGGTAAGTACATTGCATGAATGTATCGTAGTAGAGAGGTAGAGAACTGTTTGTTGTAGGGCGTTGAGATCTATTAAACATTGTGGGACGTAAAGTCGTGGTCGTGCTTAACAATAATACATGGAGTCTAAGGTAAAACATATTTACAAATATCTACAAGGTAGGAAAGGAGCTGTGAGACTACCTAACTCCGCGACTGTGTGCAGTTAATTCATTGATTTTATGCAATATAGACGTTTTGAACTTAGTTTATGAGTGAAACCATGTTGTGAGATAAGGGAACTATCCCAAGGACTGTTTAGTAAAAAAGATTTGAAGCTGTAATGAAGCCAGGCCCGTATATATGGCTTAAGTCTTTCCTTAAGTCAAATGTTAGCAGCAGCCAACAGGTTAACTGAGACCGCCCGGCGAGTGTTCCGACACGACATGTAAAAATAAAAGTTTAAAGAAATTAATTATTAACTCTTTATATGATAGTCTCCTTTTTTGTTGTCTACCACTGCCAACGTTCTTAAAGCTTTGGTTTGAGTGTAGGCGCTTAGATTTCGGAAGGAGAATTTGCAGATCGTAAGTTGCTGATACTCCGACCTAAAGATGAGGGTAGAAGAAAACAAATTTGCTCGGGCTCTTCCGCTCATAGCATTACGTGAAGCAAATTTCCGAAACGAACCAACGGTTGGGGTGCTACGATAGTCATGTATACATGGAATTTAAGTTTCAAAGAAATACTCAGGATATAGTTAAAGTCTAACTAACCCAAATCAAGTGTTAGAGTCTAAATGATGCATAGGTCGCAAATAGATGGGAAGTTCAATGGAAATTGACGTTGAGTCATTGGAGATCGAAATGGGTTCAGTCAATTGGCTTTCGAATAAGTCAGTGCTGAAGTGCCAATTTTTCCGATATAAATGTTTTATAAAATATATACATTATTGAACAAAAATTTACACATTCTTTCAGCTCAATTTAGTGACCGTTTCACGCCCGGTGAAGCAGTCGCATCTGGTCAATTTGCCAAGCATCGTCAACATGCACACAATCACGCACATTCTTCCAATGCTGGCAACAACAAAGTAGCATCCGCATCTCAAATTGTGCAGCAAACCTACAAACCACCCCAAAATATCTACTCATTTCCACCGAACATAAATTCACATTATTCATCACCTTACCAAGACCCCAAAGCCACCTTACCATCAAGCAATGTAAATAGTTACGCTGCATCGCCATCTGGACCGCTGCTGCCGAATACCAATTTTGCCACAGCTAGCAGTAATGATAACGGTTATAAATATCCGGGACCTACAAATCCCGACAATCTACCGCCAGCAGGAAAAGATGCCGATGATGCGAAATCGCCAGCAACAAGCAATGATGCTGGCGCCGGTGATGCCAACTCCGATGACACAATTGGCGTGCTACCGGCCAGCGCTATGGATGATGGAGATAAAGACATGAATGGTAAAGATAATACTGGCGGCCATGATATGGAAGCAGATGGTAGGTTTCCTATTGTAGATATATATTTATATGTGTGTGTATATATTCATTATATATTGTTCTTTAAAGACCATGACCATGACCAAGATCATCCACCACCCGTTGATGATACTGAGTACCCCACACCACCACCAGGTTGGGTAGAACAACAGCCCGACGCAGCACCTATTCATTCATATCCACATGATTCATATAACGATCATTCTTATGGTTTTCATGATCATTTTCCATCATATCCACATTACTACCCGCATTATCCTGAAAGCATTTATGCTGACCATCATCATCACCACGATCATCCAGCACCCACGCTACCACCAGTTACTACAGAAATGCCACCACCCGAACCGCCACCAGAGCCACGTGTCAAGAAATACAGTTACTTTTATATTGGTCGCAAATTGTGGTACATACCGCTATATTTCACGGTCTGGTTCAGTTTTTACGTACTCTGGCTTATTCTCAAATCGATTGCAAGACATAAGGTACATAATTGTGCAAATACATTGCCTTGACGGAATTTTCACTTACATATCCAAAACATTTTTAGGTTAATTTGCCGAATCATTATGTCAGCAAGCGAAGTCTACCCGATTTTGTTGCGACAGAGACCCGCGCAAAGGAATATATTAATGAACTGACGGTGTCTGTGCTGGAGAGAATAGAAAATTTCCAACGAAATTATTTAACATGACTGAAAATACATGTATGGAAATCGACAATAAATAAAAAATGCTGTATATTTGATAAATAAAAAATGTTTGCGAACTGCATTTTCAATCAAGGGGATACTCGTATGTCTCTTAAGGGGTTATAGCCACTTGCAAGTCAGAAAAAATGCGTTGTCTTGTGTTTTTTTTTTAGAAGGCATTTATTTAATACATATATAAAAAATTGCAGTTAAGTTAATAAGTACGTTAACGTTGATTAATTTGGAATAGTTTGAATGCCCGATCTCCAGGAGTACTTCCGAAAAAAGGCGTCTGGTGGTCAAGAAGATTGTTATACCTTGAACAGGGTATAAATTTACACACAGAAGAAAAAGTTGGAGACCCAAAAAATATACCGGTGTACCACTTTTATGAAATTCAAATACTAATTTTGAATGGGAAAGTAAAAAAAGTTATTGAAAGTATAGACCATTGCTTTTTACACACGATTGACCACCTTTCTGGCAATTTGTGGATATGATACCAATAGAAATGTTCGTCTTTTGAAGCAAACGAACCAGACACGCAATTTTAGACTTCTGCGTAGGAAGCGAAATGCGTGTCGCATCAATAAGAACAAATGTTAATCGGAAGGTGCCAAGTCTGGTGAATACGGCGGATGCGGTAGCAGCCTGAACCGATTTTGCTTTGTGAGCAGGTGCATTTCCGTCTAACAAAACTACTTTGCCATATCTTCTGGCCCATTCTGGTCGTTTTTCGATCAATGTATGATTCAAATTGATAATTTGTTGTCTGTAGCGATTAGTATTAACAGTTTCACCAGGTTTTAGAAGCGCATGATATACCAAACCCTTCTGATCCAACCAAACACAGAGCATTGCTTTCTTACCGAATCGATGTTGTTGTGGTTGTAGTAGCGGCAGAAAACATTCCTAAAGTAATTAAGAAGAATGGTGCCGAGTTGACGATCTTTCCCATAACTCTCAAACGGTCTGAAATAGTTTGTTGTGCAACATTTAACATGGCTGACATTTGCTTTTGACTGAAAGTATCATCGTCATCCAATATTGCTTGCAATTCGGCGTCTTCAAACTTTTTGGTGGTCTTCCACGTTTTTCATTTTGCACTACAAAATCACTATCTGCGAACCGTTGACACCATCTTGCATGATCACCGTATGCCTTAACAAGTATTCGATGCGACTCTGCAGCATTTTTCTTCAAATGGAAACAAAAAAATTTTTCCGTAAAAAATTTGACATTTTCAATACAATAAAAAATATGACGTTGCTTGTTCAATGACTGTAGGGTTATTGAATATGTTTGACAGATGTCATGTCAAACAAACAGAAAAAAAATTAAGGCTAGTTTACAACAAATTTTCCCTACCAACACATTTGTATCTTAACGCTCACTTCATACCGGTACATTCGAACCAGTCCCTCAGTTTTTGAGATATATATTTGAAATTTTGCCCATATCCTTTCCTCAAAAAGCTGTTAATTTGTCGGAACCGCCGATATTGGATCACTATAGCATATGTTATACAGTCATACAAACTGAACGATCAGAATCAAGTGCTTGTAAGAAAACCTTTTTCGTTAAAAGTGATATTTTCACGAAATTTTGAATGAATTATTGCCTAAGGCAATCGCGGAAGAATCGCTCAGATCGGATCACTATAGCATATGTATATCTGCCATACCAACTGACCGATCAAAATCAAGTTCTTGTACGTCACTAAAATGTTTAAAATATTAACTATTTCTCCAATGTCATATTCCCCAAGGTAAATCTCTTAGTCGTTTTTTCGGAGTACGTCACTAAAATTTGTAAACAACCATCTAATTCTTCGAGGTCAAATACCTCAAGATAAGCATTCTAATCGATTTTCTTGAGTACGTTACTTAAACTTGTAAAACACCATCTAGTTCTCCGGGGTAGCATTCTTTCAGGTAAAGCTCTTATATAATTAAATCATTCATATTAGTAATTGAGACTCAACCACTATCAGCAAGTCCTCCATACCTATGATATTTTCCCATAACTATAAGCCACATTGAAGTCAAGAAAGAAATTTCCATAATTTCTTCTGCTGTGATAATTGTATTCATTGATTTTAGTTCAAGACAATGCTGACCTTACTCAAGAAATTCATATTCAGAAAGATCTCTTTAAATCTGAGGATCGGGTTCGAAACTGTTAGATTATAAATTCCAACTCTCTTCATACCTATGATCGCATTCGAAACTGAAAGATTAACAGTTCCAACTCTCTTCGTTACCATGATCAATATATATATAATATCGTTTACATTAAAGAATTATTTAGTCTCGATCGAAAAATGGAATTTCACTTAGAAATAAAATACATTTCCCATATCACCAAATTACAATATTTTACCCCTTACATCTAATACAGTTTTATATATTATTCTCAATTCCTTTTTGGTTATTTTATTTACAGTTTCAATTCAAGTGACAATGTAATTTCGACTACCGAAACCTCAATAAAACCATCAGAGCCTACCCAGCAATCTCAGCAACGGCTTGAACCTACTTATTCACAAGAAGCTCAAGAGTACGCAGCTGAGCAGCCCATTTTATATGTAACACCACCAACAGGCGGAAAGGATGATGGAAGCAATAGTGAAATTAATTCACCACATACAGAGGCAGCCACTATAATGCACGCCAACATTAATCCCGTGTTCACGGTTGATAATGAGCAACAGCAATCAGATGCGTATGACATGCCTGCGGCTTCGACGCTAGCCGAGCCATCGCCAGCTTTACAAGAATATGCCTCGACCGGACGCGCTATCGACTACCATCGGCCAGCATATAATTTTAATCAGCTTATGACGCCTTTAATCAAAAATCCACCA